CAGCAGGTTTTCTTTCAAACATGTTTCATTGAATATGACCGCATATTCTGTATTTATTATTTTCTGGTTTAGGGCTTCTATCCCTCTAACTATTTTCTTAGCATCAGGGCTTAATTGAAATAGGAGTTCTCCAAAACTCATTTTCATACTTTTAAGGTGAAGAAAAGAAGTGAATTACTATAGAGTGTATTACACTTATTTGTATAATTTGCACGACGTTTCGAACCTCCATGGTTCATTCTCAAGTGAACAGATCTTTACAATACTAGTTGATTTTATTCCCACATTAGGTCAGGTGATAATACAATGAAGGTGAAAACACGGGGGGATACATAAGGGATAAACATAGGGGCTGCAGAAGGCTTATTGGCCCATACGAGGCATCTCCTATCTAAACACAAAGATTAATCCGGTGTAATTGGCCTGTTATGTTGGACATTGTCTTCTGTGTTGGCATCGATATGTTCTTGTCTTGTCCTTACTCTCATGGTGGGTAGAGTAAATAGTTCCGTGATTTGGGTGTTCATGGTAGGTCGCTCTATTCTTATGTGAATTGCCTCAAGAATTTGTAATCTTCTTGAATCTTGGGTTTTGTCTATTATGCAAGTATTCTTGTTCAACATTTCTCTTGTTAGAGTAATGTCATGGGCTTGTCTCATGTGATTCCTAGGGGCACCAGATTGAAGATGGCATGTCAAACGCCTCGTCAGCTTGGTCGACGTCATACCTATGTACTTACATTGAAGGTTTCATCCTTCGTGGGGGCAAGTGTACATGTATACAACGCTTGACTGCTGTAGAGGGTTCTCCGTCGGCTTCGGGCTGTTTTTGATAAGGAGTTCGGAAGTCTTCTTGGTTTTGTAGAATATTATCAGGTTAACCTGATAATATTCTACAAAACCAAGAAGACTTCCGAACTCCTTATCAAAAACAGCCCGAAGCCGACGGAGAACCCTCTACAGCAGTCAAGCGTTGTATACATGTACACTTGCCCCCACGAAGGATGTAACCTTCAATGTAAGTACATAGGTATGACGTCGACCAAGCTGACGAGGCGTTTGACATGCCATCTTCAATCTGGTGCCCCTAGGAATCACATGAGACAAGCCCATGACATTACTCTAACAAGAGAAATGTTGAACAAGAATACTTGCATAATAGACAAAACCCAAGATTCAAGAAGATTACAAATTCTTGAGGCAATTCACATAAGAATAGAGCGACCTACCATGAACACCCAAATCACGGAACTATTTACTCTACCCACCATGAGAGTAAGGACAAGAGAAGAACATATCGATGCCAACACAGAAGACAATGTCCAACATAACAGGCCAATTACACCGGATTAATCTTTGTGTTTAGATAGGAGATGCCTCGTATGGGCCAATAAGCCTTCTGCAGCCCCTATGTTTATCCCTTATGTATCCCCCCGTGTTTTCACCTTCATTGTATTATCACCTGACCTAATGTGGGAATAAAATCAACTAGTATTGTAAAGATCTGTTCACTTGAGAATGAACCATGGAGGTTCGAAACGTCGTGCAAATTATACAAATAAGTGTAATACACTCTATAGTAATTCACTTCTTTTCTTCACCTTAAAAGTATGAAAATGAGTTTTGGAGAACTCCTATTTCAATTAAGCCCTGATGCTAAGAAAATAGTTAGAGGGATAGAAGCCCTAAACCAGAAAATAATAAATACAGAATATGCGGTCATATTCAATGAAATATATATATATATATATACAGTATATAATATATATATAAATATATATATATATATATATATATATATATATATATATAATATATATATATATATATATAAATATATATATATATATATATATATATATATATATATATATATATATATATATATATATATATATATATATATATATATATATATATATACTGCCCAGATAGGTACAAGAGGAGTGTTGTTAACGCATATGTCGACCGTGCTCTCAGCCACAGCTCAGAATGGAAGCAAGTCGACGAAGAACTCTGTAGGGTAAGGCAGGTCCTAGTCAACAACGGCTTCTCCAATGGTTTCGTCGAAGACATCATAAGAAGGAAAGTGAAACGCCATGCAACCTCTGAAGAGACAACTAACACAACACCTATACCCCCTATTAGACTATTTTACAGGAACTTCTTTTCCACAGCTCATAAAACGGAGGAAAGGGTCCTGAAAGATATTGTTAATAGAAACGTTATCCCTACAAACAAAAATCAGAGGATACAACTGACGATTTACTATAAAACCAGGAAAACGGCCAGCCTACTCATGAGAAACTCTCCAGACACAAAACAGAATGCTTTAAAAGAGACTAACGTCGTCTATGCCTTCAAATGCCCTCTTGGGGACTGTAAGCTCCAAAAAACCCAGTATATAGGCAAGACAACAACATCTCTTTCTAGGCGTTTAACGATGCATAAGCAACAGGGCTCCATTAAGGAACATATAATCTCTTCCCACAACCAAACCATCGCCAGAGAAATCCTAGTAAACAACACAGAAATCATCGATAGATACAGCGATAGCAGGCGGCTTGACGTTTGCGAGGCATTACACATCAAGAAGTCAACACCAGCAATCAACAGCCAATTAATGCACAACTATATTCTACCCACCTCAAGACTCCGCTCCAATATAGAAGCATCAAGAAATATGGACCAATAGGCTTTCTACAATCACTTCTATTCAATACCCATTGTTTCATGTTCTGGCTTGTGTTGATGAAATTAATACCTTATTAAATACAACCTCACCCCATCCACCTCACTCAAATGTAGATATAAACAAAATCGGAGATGTGTAAGTTCTATTCAGTTGTGTATGTGTTAACTAAAGTCTTTGAAAATGTAATAAGTTTTACGAAACGCGCTCAAGTGTCGCGTCAGACTAGAAATAAAAATGAATTTTGGAGAATTGATTTTTGAATTATCTCCAACAGTGAAAAGAAATGTACGAAAGATTGAGAAAATTCGTGTTAGAATTATTAATCTTACTTTTTCGGTGATATTTAATATATATATATATATATATATATATATATATATATATATATATATATATATATATATATATATATATATATATATATATATATATATATATATATATATATATATATATAACATGACCGCAAGGGTAAGATTAATGATTCTAACACGAATCTTCTCAATATTTCTTAAGTTTTTCTTCACTGTCGAGGGTAATTGAAGAATTAACACTATAAAGTTCATTTTCACATTTTTATTTACGGTCTGATGCCTAGAAGCGTTTCGCAAGAGATTTCTCACATTTTGAATGACAAATTTTTACGTTCTCCGTTTCATGCTTACATTTGTTTTCAGGTGAGGTGATACTTACATCGACTGGGCTCTCAATCACAGCTCTGGTTGGAAGCAAGTCGATGAAGAACTCTGTAGGGTAAGGCAGGTCCTATTCAACAATGAATTCTCTAATGGTTATGTTGAAGACAACATAAAAAGAAAGGAGAAACGCCATGCAACCTCTGAAGAGTCAACTAACATAACACTTATACCCCCTATTAAACTGTTTTACAGGAACTTCTTTTCGATGGCTCATAAAACGGAGGAAAGTGTCTTGAAAGATATTATTTATAGGAACGTTATTCCACACAGACACAAATCAGAAGAGACAATTGACAATTTACTTCAAAAACAAGAAAACCGCCAACCTTCTCATGAAGAACTCTCCAAACACCAAACAGAATGTCTTGAAAGAAACTAATGTCGTCTATGCCTTCACATGCCCACTTGGGGACTGTCAGCCCTAAAGATCTCAGTATATAGGCAAGACAACAACGTCTCTTTCTAGGCGATTAACAATGCACAAGCAACAGGGCTACATCAAGGAGCATATAATCTCCTCACAGAACCAGACCATCACTAAAGAAATCTTAACAAGTAACACAGAAATTATCGATAGATAATTATGCGAAACGCTTTTAGTCATCAGACTATAAATAAAAATGTGAAAATGAACTTTGGAGAGTTATTTTATAACGTGTTAATTTTTGTGATTTACTCACACACACACACACACACACACACACACACACATATATATATATATATATATATATATATATATATATATATATATATATATATATATATATATATATATATATATATATATATATATATATATATATATATGTCGTACCTAATAGCCAGAACGCACTTCTCTGCCTACTATGCAAGGCCCGATTTGCCTAATAAGCCAAGATTTCATGAATTAATTGTTTTTCGACTACCTAACCTACTAAACCAAACCTAACCTAACTTTTTCGGCTAACTAACCTAACCTAACCTAAAAAGATAGGTTAGGTTAGGTAGGGTTGGTTAGGTTTGGTCATATATCAACGTTAATTTTAACTCCAATAAAAAATATTGACCTCATACATAATGAAATGGGTTGCTTTATCATCTCATAAGAAAAAAATTGAGAAAATATAATAATTCAGGAAAACTTGGCTTATTAGGCAAATCGGGCCTTGTATAGTAGGCCGAGAAGTACGTTCTGGCTACTAGGTACGACATATTTATATATATATATATATATATATATATATATATATATATATATATATATATATATATATAAACACAATGAAATGTAAAAAAATTAACAAAATGTTAAACAAATTCACAATTAAAGTAAATTAATAAAATTTATAATAAATTAATGAAATGTAAAAAAATATATAAAATAAAACGTAACAAATTAATAAAATATAAAAAAAATAACCAATGTAAAAAATCAATAAATAGTAAAAAATTAATACAATGTAAAAAAATTAATAAAATGTAAAAAAAAAAATTAAATGTTGTTTTGAAGTGAGGATATGAACAAGAGGAGGAGGAGAGGTACTCACTTGACCATGTAGAGGATAGTGTTGTCTTGGTAGAGCCAGATGTAGTGGTTAGAACAAGAGGAGGAGGAGGGGTACTCACTTGACCATGTAGAGGATAGTGTTGTCCTGGTAGAGCCAGATGTAGTGGTTAGGGATAGTCATTTCTTGGAAGGTGACCGCCTTGGCGTTCTTGAAGAAGGAGTCCGGCCGCCATATGTCCTGGGGAACACACGGGTGTTAGCGCCTGATATATTCATTAGTATTATGAAGTCTAAGACTGTGCTATATTGTTATAATTGTTAATTGAAGTTTTATATTTGTTATATTATTTTTTGTATGTTTTGGCAGCAGTCTTTGTTGTAGACATGTTAGTGAATATGTCAGGAAGGATGAGACCAAAGATTCAAGGACGAATCTTCTCCATATTTCTTATGGACTTCACTGGACAAGGAATATGAATGCATTACCTCTCAAACGTTTATTTTACAGTTCTATTATGACCATGACGCTAAGAGATATGTTTCGTTGACCATGTCAACATTTTCAAAGGCAGAGTAGAAGTGAATACAATCTACATTGATTGATTATTGAAGCCACCCAAAAGGTGGCACGTAAAGAGTACAATGTAGCTGCTGGAACGGAATATATAATGGAGAGTGAAGTGAAGTGGCACATGGGCCAAGAGGTCCGCTGCAGTTCACCCCCAACTGTTATGTTCCAGTGATGGCCGGGGCGGTGTGCTGGGTGTCCTCTCATGGTCTTGAGGAAGGTAGAATGTAACTGAGTGATGGTGGTGAAGGGTTGGGGGATGTGAAGGGTAGGGAAGATGGTGAAGATAGATATATACATCATTTGTTATAATTATGGGTATACTGGGCAAACCAATATATTCTGACACTGCAGTTAACAACAGTAATGGGGTCGTTGGTGGTCACCACTTTTACAACTTCCTCTTTTTTCAACCCATCCCCCAGGCCAAGCTATAAGTCAAATACTGACTTACGTAGAATTTAATAAGTCAATATTTGACTTGTAAATTGTGAACCTGGCGGCCCTTTGACCTGATGACGACGGACTGGTTTAAGGTAATTATCAGGAGAAAGCCCTTACGACTATATAGCACTTGGTGAGGATAAGGTATCTAGGATAGGACGGGAGGGAAGGAAAGGTGCCCAACCACTTGCACGGTCGGGGATTGAACGCCGACCTGCACAGAGCAAGACCGTCACTCTATCGCCCAGCCCAAGAGGTTGAGTTATGGCTGGTTTACGTACACTGTGGTTCACAAGGATGGTGTGCGTGGAGGTGGATGATTACCCAAGACATGTCCCCTGGGCTGGGCAAACTTGCCCACCTGTCCTGAGGAAAAAGCAACACCTTTAAAACCCAGATGCTGAGGAGATGTTGCCATAGTAACGCCGAGCATCACGGACGCATCCCACAACAGCCTCTTGTGTTGTCCTCCTGGGGATTATGCTAAGTACTTTAGATTAACTTAGTATCAATTACATATTTTCATTCAGTTGAAGGGTAGAGTGACTCTCCTTAAACAAGATGAAGAGTGCAGTGACGCTCCTTAAACTAGATGAAGAGAGCAGTGACGCTCCTTAAACCAGATGAAGGGTAGAGTGACTTTCCTTACACTAGGTAAAGGGTAGATAAGTGACTTTCCTTAAGCCAGATGAAGGGTAGAGTGACTTTCCTTACACTATGTAAAGGGTAGAGTGACTTTCCTTACACTAGATATAGGGTAGAGTGACTTTCCTTACACTAGATATAGGGTAGAGTGACTCCCCACAATAGATGAAGGGCAGAGTGACTTTCCATACAATAGATGAAGGGTACAGTGACTCTCATTAAACCTAGTGAGGGGGAGCACCTTACCTTGAGCCAGGTGAGGGGAACACCTTACCTTGAGCCAGGTGAGGGGGAGCACCTTACCTTGAGCCAGGTGAGGGGGAGCACCTTACCTTGAGCCAGGTGAGGGGAGCACCTTACCTTGAGCCAGGTGAGGGGGAACACCTTACCTTGAGCCAGGTGAGGGGAGCACCTTACCTTGAGCCAGGTGAGGGGGAGCACCTTACCTTGAGCCAGGTGAGGGGGAGCACCTTACCTTGAGCCAGGTGAGGGGAGCACCTTACCTTGAGCCAGGTGAGGGGAGCACCTTAACTTGAGCCAGGTGAGGGGAGCACCTTACCTTGAGCCAGGTGAGGGGAGCACCTTACCTTGAGCCAGGTGAGGGGGAGCACCTTACCTTGAGCCAGGTGAGGGGGAGCACCTTACCTTGAGCCAGGTGAGGGGAGCACCTTACCTTGAGCCAGGTAAGGGGGAGCACCTTACCTTGAGCCAGGTAAGGGGGAGCACCTTACCTTGAGCCAGGTGAGGGGAGCACCTTACCTTGAGCCTGGTGAGGGGGAGCACCTTACCTTGAGCCAGGTGAGGGGAGCACCTTACCTTGAGCTAGGTGAGGGGAGCACCTTACCTTGAGCCAGGTGAGGGGAGCACCTTACCTTGAGCCAAGTGAGGGGAGCACCTTGAGCCAGGTGAGGGGAGCACCTTGAGCCAGGTGAGGGGAGCACCTTGAGCCAGGTGAGGGGAGCACCTTGAGCCTGGTGAGGGGAGCACCTTGAGCCAGGTGAGGGGAGCACCTTACCTTGAGCCAGGTGAGGGGGAGCACCTTACCTTGAGCCAGGTGAGGGGAGCACCTTACCTTGAGCCAGGTGAGGGGGAGCACCTTACCTTGAGCCAATTGAGGGGAGCACCTTGAGCCAGGTGAGGGGAGCACCTTACCTTGAGCCAGGTGAGGGGGAGCACCTTACCTTGAGCCAGGTGAGGGGGAGCACCTTACCTTGAACCAGGTGAGGGGGAGCACCTTACCTTGAGCCAGGTGAGGGGGAGCACCTTACCTTGAGCCAGGTGAGGGGGAGCACCTTACCTTGAGCCAGGTGAGGGGGAGCACCTTGAGCCTGGTGAGGGGAGCACCTTACCTTGAGCCAGGTGAGGGGGAGCACCTTACCTTGAGCCAGGTGAGGGGAGCACCTTACCTTGAGCCAGGTGAGGGGGAGCACCTTACCTTGAGCCAGGTGAGGGGAGCACCTTGAGCCAGGTGAGGGGAGCACCTTACCTTGAGCCAGGTGAGGGGGAGCACCTTACCTTGAGCCAGGTGAGGGGGAGCACCTTACCTTGAGCCAGGTGAGGGGAGCACCTTACCTTGAGCCAGGTGAGGGGAGCACCTTACCTTGAGCCAGGGGAGGGGGAGCACCTTACCTTGAGCCAGGTGAGGGGAGCACCTTGAGCCAGGTGAGGGGAACACCTTACCTTGAGCCAGGTGAGGGGGAGCACCTTACCTTGAGCCAGGTGAGGGGGAGCACCTTACCTTGAGCCAGGTGAGGGGAGCACCTTACCTTGAGCCAGGTAAGGGGGAGCACCTTACCTTGAGCCAGGTGAGGGGAGCACCTTACCTTGAGCCAGGTGAGGGGGAGCACCTTACCTTGAGCCAGGTGAGGGGAGCACCTTGAGCCAGGTGAGGGGAACACCTTACCTTGAGCCAGGTGAGGGGGAGCACCTTACCTTGAGCCAGGTGAGGGGGAGCACCTTACCTTGAGCCAGGTGAGGGGAGCACCTTACCTTGAGCCAGGTAAGGGGGAGCACCTTACCTTGAGCCAGGTGAGGGGAGCACCTTACCTTGAGCCAGGTGAGGGGGAGCACCTTACCTTGAGCCAGGTGAGGGGAGCACCTTGAGCCAGGTGAGGGGAACACCTTACCTTGAGCCAGGTGAGGGGGAGCACCTTACCTTGAGCCAGGTGAGGGGGAGCACCTTACCTTGAGCCAGGTGAGGGGAGCACCTTACCTTGAGCCAGGTAAGGGGGAGCACCTTACCTTGAGCCAGGTGAGGGGAGCCCCTTACCTTGAGCCAGGTGAGGGGGAGCACCTTACCTTGAGCCAGGTGAGGGGAGCACCTTACCTTGAGCCAGGTGAGGGGAGCACCTTACCTTGAGCCAGGTGAGGGAGAGCACCTTGAGCCAGGTGAGGGGGAGCACCTTACCTTGAGCCAGGTGAGGGGAGCACCTTACCTTGTGCCAGGTGAGGGGAGCACCTTATCTTGAGCCAGGTGAGGGGGAGCACATTGAGCCAGGTGAGGGGGAGCACCTTACCTTGAGCCAGGTGAGGGGGAGCACCTTGAGCCAGGTGAGGGGGAGCACCTTGAGCCAGGTGAGGGGAGCACCTTACCTTGAGCCAGGTGAGGGGAGCACCTTACCTTGTGCCAGGTGAGGGGAGCACCTTACCTTGAGCCAGGTGAGGGGGAGCACCTTGAGCCAGGTGAGGGGGAGCACCTTGAGCCAGGTGAGGGGGAGCACCTTGAGCCAGGTGAGGGGGAGCACCTTACCTTGAGCCAGGTGAGGGGGAGCAGCTTGAGCCAGGTGAGGGGGAGCACCTTGAGCCAGGTGAGGGGAGCACCTTACCTTGAGCCAGGTGAGGGGGAGCACCTTGAGCCAGGTGAGGGGAGCACCTTACCTTGAGCCAGGTGAGTGGGAGCACCTTGAGCCAGGTGAGGGGGAGCACCTTGAGCCAGGTGAGGGGAGCACCTTGAGCCAGGTGAGGGGAGCACCTTGAGCCAGGTGAGGGGGAGCACCTTGAGCCAGGTGAGGGGAGCACCTTGAGCCAGGTGAGGGGGAGCACCTTGAGCCAGGTGAGGGGGAGCACCTTGAGCCAGGTGAGGGGGAGCACCTTGAGCCAGGTGAGGGGAGCACCTTACCTTGAGCCAGGCGACAGGCAGGAGGCGATACTCGTGGGTCATGTTATCTGGAAGCCTCAGCCTCCAGTCCTTCCAGCTCTGCGCAAAGAAAATGTCGGCGGCGTATGTCTGGAGGAGAAGATAAAAAATAACGAAATAATGTGAGAGAGAGAGAGAGAGAGAGAGAGAGAGAGAGAGAGAGAGAGAGAGAGAGAGAGAGAGAGAGAGAGAGAGAGAGAGAGAGAGAGAGAGAGAGAGAGAGAGAGAGAGAGAGAGAGAGAGAGAGAGAGAGAGAGATACTGAGATTGTACCAGGCTTCGCTAATAAAAGTCAATGGTTGTTGGATAAAAGCGTCCATTTTCAGTGTTGGTGTGTGGCGTGGGGAGACCAGGAATATACAGACGGGTCCGAAGGAGAATGCTTAAATTTTTGTTTAAATTTTACCCCGAGGGGCGAGTTTATCGGGCAGCGCCACTCATCCTGTGAGTGGACACACCGCCATAGCAGCATGTACAACACTCTCCAATAGGAAGAAAACCCGCTGGGTTGTTCATCCTGTCACTTGTACCCAGACACAGCTGGGACTTGCTTAACTGTCTCAAGTGAACAGCTTATCAAACAAGAAGATTAACATCTGTCAACCCTTAAAATTTTGGGTTATCTTGCGGGTGCAAAATGGAGGAATCTTTTAAGAACAGTACCAATATTTGACAAATAGCGAGAGACGGGACAAGGTGCTGCGACAGGCTGAGCAAACATTAGCAGGAGAATGCTTACAGTGACTTCAGTGACTGCTGGAAAGTGAGGTTGAGCTCTTCATTCCCTGCCCAGAGGGCTTCGTTTTACCTGGCGTATTATAATTTAATTAACTATCTGCACGTTCGAAATCTTTGTCAAGTTTGACCGAAAAGTTATCAAATTCAAAAATCAAAATGTTTATTCAGGTAAAAGTACATACATAGAAGATGAGTTACATATATAATTTTGGATTAATACATAGAGCCGGTACATACAATAAATATCTAAAGCCGCTTATACGCAACGCCTAACCGTTTCGTATAAGCGGCACTTATATAATGTACGTTTCGGGCAGGAACGGCCGATGGTGCTTTTTGGATGAGGATGGCCGTTATGTTCTAGGTGATCCAGTTACTAATATAATCAGTTATATTATATTGCTGAACGTACTTTGAGTATTAAATAAGGACAATGATTTTTTACTTCTACATGTTAATGTTGAAGACTGCGAGTCGGGTAGAAGCCTGGTAGCCTGGTGTTAATTTGTTTCGTAATAGAAAAATGGAATAATTTGTTGTGACAGCCAGACGCAGCTGTATGATAATGTATTTGCATATTGCATTTGTGGTAATGGAGTGTTTGCATATTAGTAAATTTAGGTTTTCAAAGTTTGCATATACTATATTATCATGAAGCGATATGAACAAATATCTTGCCCGCGATATCCTGCCCGGTCCTCCATGTTGGCGGCGGAGGGTGTATTGTTGACGGGCCGCCGCCCACCTCTTGACACCCACATATCCCTTATTTTATTTATTTATTTAATCAATTTACCAGTCTCCGTGGTGTAGTGGTAAGACACTCGCCTGGCGTTCCGCGAGCGCTATGTCATGGGTTCGTATCCTGGCCGGGGAGGATTTACTGGGCGCAATTCCTTAACTGTAGCCTCTGTTTAACGCAACAGTAAAATGTGTACTTGGATGAAAAAACGATTCTTCGCGGCAGGGGATCGTATTCCAGGGACCATAGGATTAAGGACCTGCCCGAAACGCTACGCGTACTAGTGGTTGTACAAGAATGTAACAACTCTTGTATATATCTCAAAAAAAAAAAAAAAAAAAAAAAAAATGCAGTTTATGTGCATGCAGGGGATTAGTGCTTAATGGAAACATTGTAACCAATTGTATATGTAATATTCACCTGTCATACAAAGTCTAAGTATTGCAATTGTTTTGAGATAATTGTGTGTGTTATTATAGGAGAGTCGTGCTATGCGGCGACCCCCACTTGCCTGGCCGCTGCTGCCCTCAGGCGTCAGTGGTGCTTCGGTCACCAGGGCGTGTGGGTGTTTGGTGAGCGCTCTGATATAAGTTAGCTTTTATTCTTAGTTTTGTGCCTGATTACGCAGCATTTAATGTAAACTTATTGTAGTGATTTTTCAAGGTTTATAAATGCTGAGAATAGGTGGAATATTTCTTGACATTTAAGCTTGGTTGACTATTACATTAATTCCTTGCCACTGTGTGGGTGGTTGTCCTACTTATTCCTGATAATTAATTTGTTAGTGCGTTCTTAGTATACATTACAGTATCTGACTAAATATATCTATACCAGTGTCATTATGTATGTTGAATGCATTACTTTGTTGACCAGACCACACACTAGAAGTTGAAGGGACGACGACGTTTCGGTCCGTCCTGGACCATTCTCAAGTCGATTGTGATGAGGAGGTATAGACAGGCAATAAATAGGCATTACTTTATGTGCGCTTAGATAGTGACACTGGTTACACCTAGTCACTATCTTTTAGTTACTACCTTTTCTAACATATATTTTATATTAAGCTAGTTTTTACATTGTTCGCAGTATAGACTGGGGCGGAGGGAGATAACAGGCAATAACGGTGACTTAGACAACTTTTCTAGCCCATTCCACTCGTGTTGCTTGTTTCTGTTTAACTTGGGCGAAGTATGAGTATTTGACTCGCATGGTCACTAAAGATTTTGTCCCTGTGTTTAACAACTTCTGCTCGGTTGAATCCAAGTTGAAACCTTAAAGGGGTTTGTAACTCTGCACTGTGTTAGATAATGTTCCCGTGCAGACGAGGAGTCGCAATAACATGGCTGAAATATGTAGACCAAACCACAAACTAGAAAGTGAAGGGACGACGACGTTTCGGTTCGTCCTGGACCATTCTAAAGTCGATTGTGATAATTCGATTTGAATTATTCCACTTTCTTTCACAATCGACTTTAGAATAGTCCAGGACGGACCGAAACGTCGTCGTCCCGTCACTTTCTAGTGTGTGGCTTGGTCAACATGTTCCAGTGGTCTGTCTGGCATTTCTCCACAGTGCTGACATTTCCTGTCATCTTCTGGAACCTGTAAGCCTATTTCCCATGCACATGGGTACCCAAGCCTGACCCGTACAGTATGTGTGTAGTCGACACATGTTGACCACACGTACAGGCTAAGAGTCAACACTTGTTACCTTACGTTCATTCAATTCATTTGCGTTCCCAAATGTGTTCCACTTATGTATTCTTGTACAAACTTTCTTTCATTTGAAAGAGGTTCTTGTTAACCTTTCCTATTCCCTTCAGTATCTTTCATGTTATGACCATCTCTTCTGTTTCTTCTCTTCTCCAGGGTTGTGAGATGTTTTCTTTAATCATCGTAGCTCCTCCCTTGTGAGGATGTCAACGCCATCTGTTGAAGACACCCGACCCTATTTTCTGTTCCCTGGTGGATGACTGTGTTCTTACTGATACTTGTGTATGTATAGTTTCCTTCTTACTTAACAATTTAGATTTTAGATTTAGATTTTTTATTCAGGTAAAGGTACATACATTGAAGTTGAGTGACAAACATAATGTTGGATATAAAGATAAAGCTAGTACATACAATACCTAAAGCCAATGATACGCATTGCGTTTTGGGCAAAGTGTGAGGGGGGAAAAACTACTTTAAAACTAAAGTAAAACTTAATAGTTATTGAGCATAACTATTGAGTTATGCATAACTATTGACTAAAACTTAATAGTTATTGAGCATTAAGTAAATTGTTGAAAAAATGAATATAAAAAGGTGGGGAACATGGCAGAAAATAGCAATTATGCAAGTTGGTCAACAAACAGCATTGTTTAACATAGCAAGACATAGGTTGACATTTTGGGGTAAGGTAGGTTACATGGAGTTTATCAGGTAGTACTTGGTTTTTATCATAAGTGGTTGAGAGAGGTACAGCCTTTGACATGATTGGGAAGGTCATTCCACATTCTGGGTCCCTTGATTTGTAGAACATTTCTAGTTTAAGTCGCACTCTTGGAATATCAAATAGGTATTTGTTTCTGATGTGGTGCCCATGGGTTCTGTTACAATCTTCTAGGAAGCTTTTCAGGTCAGGATAGACATTACAGTTCAGAGTTTTAAATATATAAAATACACATTAGGGGATGTGCAGTGACTTAATATCTAACATATTCAGAAATCTGAGTAAGGGTACCGAGTGATGTCTGGGGCCAGAGTTGGATATTGTTCTAATAGCAGCTTTGTGTTGAGTAATTAGAGGACGTAAGTGATTTTGGGTAGTAGAACCCCAAGCACAAATACCATAGTTGAGATAAGGATAGATGAGAGAGCAATAGTGTCACCAGGGCAGGGCGAGGTACAAAATATCTGATCTTAGAATGCCAACAGTTTTAGAAAGTTTTTTTGCTATATTTAGAATGTGTCCCTGGAAATTAAGCTTGTTATCGATGAGGACACCAACGAATTTACCATCAACTTTGTTACTAATTTGGATAGTGTTTATGCTTAGGTTAATATCATTTGAGGATTTATTACCAAATAAAATATAAAGTTTTGTCAGTGTTAAGGGTGAGTTTGTTAGCAGTTAGCCAAAGATGGACTTTAGTTCAGTATTCACTGTGACATTTAGAGCAAGAGGGTCAGGACTGGAGAAAATGAAGGTTGTCATAACCAAATAAGATTAGTTTGAGGTGTTGAGAGGCATTTGAAAAGTCATTAATGTAGATGAAAGAGGAGAGGGGCCAAGTATGCTGCCCTGTGGAACAATAATGGTTATGGGTATGGTAAGAGAAATAAAATTATTCACAAACATATTGGAGCCTGTCAGTAAGGTAAGGCTGAAGATATATCAGGGAGTGACCTCAGACTGTATGTATCAAGTTAATCATACTAATCAGTGCATCGTTAGTACTTTTCTGGGGGTCTGAAACCATATTGATAAGAGTATATTGTTTTGGCTAGATAAGAGTAAAGATGCTTGTAGATTAGCTTTTCAAATATTTTTGACAAGGTTGGCAAAATTGAAATAGGTCTGTAATTGTAAATGATGACAATTACACTAAAATTACAATTACACGGGGACACTAAAAGCCCCGAAATCATCTCGAGATAACCTCAAGATAGACATCAGTGAGATCACTACATTTATGGACTGGGGTTAACTCTCGCATTTTTTAGAATATCCGGAAAGGTTTGGAGTTCAAAGATTTGTTGAAGAGCAATGCAATGGCAGGAGCTAGAAATCTGGAGGCTTTTTTGTAAATTGCAGATGGAAAGTCATCAAGGGCACTAGACTTTGTTTTAAGAGAAAGGATTATCGCATTGACATCAGTGGAATTAGCGGGAGTTAGGTAGAGAGACTCTGGATAGTTAACTGTAAGGTAGTTGCTAACACTAGTTAGGAGCGATGGAATATCATTAGCAAGGGATGTCCCATTGGATGAAAAGAACCTATTGAATTCAATAGCAGTGTCAAGAGGCTGAAAGCAGACGATTGTCATTGGATAAGAGTATTGTTTTTATTTATTCAGGATCTTTGTCTATCTTAATATTTGGGAAATAGTGCTCCAAGTTTTCTTAATGTTGCCCTTAAGTTGGGTAAATTTATTTTCGTAATATTTTATTTTAGCTCTCCTAATTATTTTAGACCGCATTGATGAGTAAATCTTTGAAAATTCTTTGGAGACGACCCTAACCTATGCTTGTTCTCGAGGTAATGTTTTGTATTAATAGATTTAAGTGTACCATTTGTAAGACATGGAGTGTTTAACCATTTAGTTGTGACTTGTTTTGTTAGTATAGGACTGTGGGTGTTATAGAGGCTCGGAGTTTTCTGAAGAAATGTTTGCACTGCTAGGTTGATGTTCACTGTTACCTAATTCAGTCTCCCAGTTGATATTAGCAGCAGCAGCAATAAAATTGTCTATAGAAGTTTCATTGTGTAGCCTAAAGCTTATCTTCCTTGTCTCTAGAGGTGGTTTGTTAATGTTGGGAGAAATGTGGGGTAATGGTAAGTGGTTCTATCAATGATTATCCCTGAAGTAAGTGGAGAGGTTATGTTGGTCCAGATGTGGTCAAGAGCCGTGGCGGTACTATCAGTGAGTCTAGTAGGTCTAGTGATTAAGGGTATGAGGAAGCAGGAATTCATACAGTTGAGGAAACTAGCAGCAGGAGGGTTATCAGGCTCTCAGAGGTCAATATTAAAGTCTCCTGAAATAAATAAATGGTTTTGTTCAATCTGTTATCTAGTATTAGATTTCTAAGGTTAGAGTTGAATTCAGACGCATCAGTGTTAGGAATTCTATAGACTGCTCCTGACGAGACTGTCAGGACAGTCTCGGCACCCTTGACTCTGAAACAGACAAAGATATACTCTCCACAGGAGTCTAGTTCTAATTACTTTTAAGCATGTCAGTTCTTGGTGGTAGTAAAGAGCAGTACCACCCCCTCTCTGAATTGGTCAACAGTTGTGAATTGCTGAGTAGTTAG